AGAGAATTTTTTTGGTTTTTTACGCCTTTTGAACCTGACCTATGATTCATTCATAGCTGTACTAAACTCTAGGAATAAAATGCTGTTATGTTAACCAGACAAAAGGATTGGGTCGCCCCTCCAAATTATTAAGTTCAGGTATTCCATCCACCTCATTCACAACAGAAGTGTATTGAAATCGGAAATTCTGACTTTCCAGTTTCTAAAAATTAACTGGAACGCCCTCCAAAGTCAGATTTCCCATTAGGAAGCTGGGAGAGGTTTGTAAAGTACACAAACATTTTACTCCAGAGGGAGTAGCACTTCTTCAACTTCTATTTAGTCAAGTAAAAGTAAAAAGTAGCAGTCGGTATCTGCGTGAGGCCGATGTTACGGTCACGTTAACCCAGTGAGAGATAATGAGTCAGAGGCCGCTCAAATATGTTTCCATCAACATATACAGCAGCTAATGTGTCTTATTAGCTCACCTTGCCTGTGAGGTAATCAATGAAATCTCAGTTTAACCTGAAAGAAAGAAACGGCCAACAGTGTCTACTCTGTCGGTGTGAAGGCGGTCAGAGTTTTTATTTATTTTGATGGATGATGGAGAAGGAAGATAGGTGATAGGTGGATGAAGGATGGAGGAGGAAACTGCGTGAATACACAGTCATTTACATACAAATCAGCCCTACAGCAAAAACTGTAAGTCAGATACACAAACAAAAACTCAGATGTGTTTGTAAGCATCTCAATGTTAGTGAGTTCCTAATGAAATTGGAGTATCAATTCTGTCGAGGAAAAGACTGCAATAATAAAAAAAAAACAAATCCAAGCAAATGAAATCTGGAACCAATTAGAGAAGGGCGAAATAAACATGTTTCATTTTGGCTGGGATTAAGGCAGCAACATATTAGACGTACTTGCAACATGACATAATGTTGGCGAATGTTTTGCTTGGGTTGCAAACACAAACCTCAGTGACAAATCAGTGCAGCTACTGGAAAAATATCAAATCTGGGGTCTGAAATAATTAATTAGATGAAATGATTAATTAAATAATCATCGACTAATTTAGTAATCGATTGATCAGAGCATACAGACTGTGGTTTGCTGAAAGACCAACACAGTCAGAGCAGTAATTAAGACAAAACTGTACAAAAGAATACTCAAATAATAATAAAAAAATAAATCTGTCTTTAAATATGAACTCCTCAAGTGGCAGTTTTGGCTTCACCTTGATCAAATTCAAATTAAAACGCCTTTGTCTGTGTTGGGCCTTCGTTTGATATCCAATTTTTGTTATCAGTCAAAAATTAATCAACACTATCAGTCAAGCATCCTTTAAATCCTGCACAGCATCCATCCACACATCTCTACTCCGGCTTTTAAAAAACAAAGTTAAATAATGAGAAACACATGTTTCATTGTAAAATATCAGCCGCTTCAGATAGTCCTGCTCGGGGAATATCCCTGAGGATATGAGCTCAGCAGCCCCACCCCAGGCTGGACGCACACGAGGATGTGAGCATGCAAACAAACAGACGCTTGGCCCTCATTTTCCTCCATCACTCAGTCGATCTTTGGGCCACACGCAGAACATCTGAAGACACAGAGGCACGCAAACACCAAAGGACGGACTGAAGGATTTTGTGGCTCTTGTATTTATGTCACTGCACAGATGAGGCCAGAAATCAGCTCTGAAGCTGCTGCAGACACCAAATGTAGGTCATATTAGCAAAAGCTTTCATGCATCTTCATCAGGCAGCGACTAACAGTGCAGGCAGATTTCTTTTGTCTGCTTTCTACCTCTGCATGTGTGGGTATCAGACAGCTATGTGTAATATTTTGCTTTGGGTGGAGCGTTGCATGACCACTGACCTATATAACGGCTCTCTCACGAGGCGGCTCGTTGCCATGGCGCCGGGAGTAGCAGATGCAGAGCGAGGACGACGGCTCTGGCGAGGGAAAGTTCTCATTTTGAGGACAAAGGAAATCTGTGTGAGACAGATTCCTGTGCTGTCATTTTTCTTTTTTCTTTTTTTTTTTTGAAGGGAGCCTGGGAAGCCCCGTCTGTGATTTGGCAGAGCTGCGAAACACCTCGACGGAGGATGTCTCCCTGAGACGAGATGCCGGTGGGGGTTTGTCCTACATACGCCGATTTCACACAAAGCTGCCTCTGCTGCTGCCTGCGCTGAAGACAGAACTCCACATCAAATATTCAGCATTTCATACGAGAGGGGGAAAAAAAAACGCAAGCCGGTTCCTGCTGGTCTAACGGAGAAAGTCGGAAAAAATGAAAACGATGACACGCGTGATAAATAAACAGTAAATAGGAGCAGATAGTCAAAAACACGGACAGGTTAAGGTTTATCAATGTGGATGAAGTTTTAGAGAGATACAGGTTCATTCATCCATCCATTTTCTAAGTGGGGTGGAAGGTATATGGTGCCCATCTCCAGCGAACGTTTCGGGCGAGAGACGGGGTTCACCCTGGACAGGTCACCAGTCTGTCGCAGGGAAACACAGAGACAGATGGGACACACAACCACGCACACACACACTCGCACCCAAAAACAATTTAGAGAGACCAGTTAACCTGTGGAGGAAGCCGGAGTACCCAGAGAGAATCCACTCAGGCGCAGGGAGAACATGCAAACCCACAACCTTCTTGCTGCAAGGCAACAGTGCTACCAACTGCGCCACTGTGCTGCCCATGCAGCTTCAACAGGGCTAAATTAAATCCTTCTAAAATTGAATATTATTTATGGCAAAATTATATGCCACCATCAGTTGTTATAAAAATGCAATACATATCAAATATGACTGGAAAGAAGTTTGAATTTGTAATTTAGGACCTTGAAATTAGCCTCCCAAAGTGCCGCCTTTTCCATGCAGTTAGCTTCCACCTCACAGAGCCTTCCTTCCCCCACTCAGCTCCTTCAGACTAGCGGCAGCAGCAATTAGCAAACACCTGGTGGAACTGGAAGTCTACTGAGCTTATCATAGGAACTACTTTTCAGTCTAAAACTCCTGCAGCATCAGCATTGTTGTAATGATGTGCTGAAGGGGGACTATCGGAAGGAGCAGGAGCTTCTTAAAGGGACAGAGGCCCAATTTCAAGGCGTCAAATTACTTTTGAGTCAATTTTCATATGCACAACATTTTTACAACAATTGACAGCAGTATAGTGCTGTGAAACAGCTCTATGAGCCTGAAAAATACGTAACAATGCCCTGAAATCTCCTCATACATGGTTGCACTAGTACAGAATTCAGCTCAAACGCCCTGATACTATTTTATTTTTCCAGCAGAGTGTCCCTGCGTGTGCTGCTCTCTGTGTTTGCGGGTGTGCTATGAATAGCAGGGGAGTTGAGCCACACAAAGGGGGGAATTGTTTTTTGTCTCAGCACCAACCAACAATCCCCAGACAAGGCTGCTGCATTGAAACATGCAAAGCTAATGGGAAAAGACCTGCAATCCATCACCTCGACGGGCTCTAGCTGTCACAGTGGGGCACCAAAACATTTGCTGCAACAAACAGAGCCAAAATTAGAAGTTCTGCAAACTTTGCCACCACTCAGACACCCAGAGCGCCGCAAGCCAAGTGGTGAAAGTGATAGGTTGAAGTTAGAGCGAGTCTGTGTTAACAAGATTACCCTGAGATGCTGCAAAGAGAACACAAAGACTGGCTTTGTGTGGATCCCCGCTGGAACAGCAGGGGATGAAAATAAAGGATCACATTGATTAAAGAGTTCTGTATCCCGCAAATCAATGCAAACGTTAATTAAATTCATAGCCAAAATGTAATAAAAGTGACCCGATTTTGGAACAATGAACCCTTTATTACATGACAGGAGAGCACACAGCTGTTTTTGATGTTTTTCTCATTAAAAATCATTGCAAGTGCTATATAATCATACATGCAAATGCATTTTGTTTGCACAGAAATATATTTACGGTTTTATAACAATCAATTACTAGACTCCCTATTTAAATTGGAAGCATCCCCAATGATCTCGGTCATAATAAATGTTGATTAAGTCAAATTAGGTCACATTTATACAACGACAAACCGCCTCGCAGTGAGTCTCTGGGTGTAAATAACGGTCCACTCATCACAATAAAGCCCAGACGAATAGAAATGAATCCTCACCGTTACACCACTGAAACGGGTGCATCAATGCACCAGAGGGAGTCCTCGCCGCCGGGTTCGTGTTTACCAACAAGCCGCAAACGCCTGTGCGGCTGAACGCGCCCAGAAGGCCGGGATGACAGCGGAGCAGCTGGGTGAAAGGTGAGCCAGACAGCAGCACCTGGTCCTCCGAGGGGGGGGAAACGCTTCGCCTTTCACCAAATCCAGAAGCTTTGTTGTGTCGCGTTGCCTGCGCGATGGATCATCTCTGCAGTCAAGAAACGCAGAAACGCGGAAAGTGTTTTGATTATTGTGATTCCTTCATTTCGTTCTGGCTGCTGTGAGTCGGTCTCTGTTAACAGGCGGCATGGCAGTGACCCAGTGGCGGCGGCAGCATCGATATGAGTCGGGGAAACTGGAGCGCTGGTTCTGGTTCTGCTCCCGCCCCGACAGGCGCCGCTGGCGGGCGGGGAGTCCAATCCGCAGCCCGCCTGGCGGTGCGTTGTTGTGACTGGGTTGGCTTTCAGGGGCGAATCGGTTCAGACAGCGGCACCAGGGCACCGCAGGGTCCCCCCGGAATAATAGCTCCAATTTAAATTCTGTTTAATTTAATCAGTAATATTAAATGCACTTATAATTGTTTTGTTGTTTTTTTTTTTTTACATACATTATACAACACAAATCTATTCACTGTTTTATGTTTTCTTTATTCATGCATATTTTTTTTGTCTGCATCTGGTTGTATTTGTTTTTGAAATATTTAAGTGTTATTAAAAGATACCTGTAATGGAGTCAAATTATTTCTTTACAGCACTCCACATTCAGAAAGAAAAAAATACTTTTAATATCAATAATAACATTTTAAAGTATGTATAACAATCAATCAGTTTACTTTATTTGACAATACAATTCATACAAAGTTATCAAGAAGGTGAAAACCTCTAAAATAAAAGAAAATATGAAGCAATATGTACCCTCAACTTTGCTGCATATTGCAAAAAAAGTGCTCTCTTTTTGAAATACCTGTCTTCATAAGTCCACAATATCATTGACGTTGATCTTATCATGGCTTTAAATAATCTTTTTCTCAATAAAAGTATTTAATGTTGCACCTAAATTCAAGCCACATTTTCACATTTCAAAATGAAATACAGGCATCTAGCAGGCTTTGGCATCCTCCGAAACTCAGAAGAAATAGACCTGCTCATAGGCAGTAAAGTTTGAAGTGTAGACAGGAGTGAACTTGTAGATCAACGAGGCGTCTTCCTCCTCAGGGGAGTCAAAATGATGCAAACTCTTCCGTCCTAAACAAAGCACAGACGATCAAAGGCGATACACAGTTTAAGCATGTAATGACAGAATAGTTCTCACTTAATTCTCACCTTCACTGATAAAAAACTCAGCCAGCTGCGACGACAACTGAACAGCATGACTGGAGTGAGGAAAGTTTAACCTTCTGTTCCACTGAAAGCGGTTCCCCTCGGGATGCCACTGCACTCCGTAGAACGGATACCTTTTACCTGGCAGGGCAGCGGAAACCAAAGGACATTCTGTCACCGCCCGACTCAAGAGCAACACTCCGGCTTTTCACTTCCACACTCAAATAATCGAATAACCTTCAATGGTGGAGACGAAGTGAACTCCATTTTCGGCAACGTTCGTCGACAGCAGGGAGAAGAAACCGCTCAGCTTCTCGTTTTCCTGGAAAGTCTGGAGGAAGAGTTTCATTTTCCATTTAAGTTTTCAGCATTTTATCACATGATAGCTGGAAAAGCCAAAGTATTTATGTAGTAGACCAACACAAAGTAGTTTGTGTTTGTGAGGTTGGAAGAAAACAGAAAATCTGAGAAGTGTGGCAAGCACAATTTTTTTTTTCTCCAGTCACGTCTGCAGGTTTTTCAGGCTGAACTTTGCAAATTAGCTCAACCTCAATTAGATGAATGGAGACTATTTGAGAACAGCAAGTCTTGCCACAAATTCTTAATTGAATGTAGGTTTGGACTTTGACTAGGCCATTGTAACTTTTAAGAACATGTGCTGATCTGAACTCTTCCTTTGCAGCTGTGGTTGAATGTTTAGGGTAAATGTCTCAACTGAAACTAAACCCAAAATCAACTTTTTTCATTCCTTTTTTGCTGACAAACTGCCTAAGTAAGTTAATTAGGGTTTTATTGTAATGTTTTTGTGTAAATTTGTTTAATCTGCCTAAATGGTTTCACTGCTGAGATTGAATCCTGGCTCAGGCAGTCAGATTTTCCTATTGGTCATAATGGTACAAGTTGTTTAATGACTATGTCACATTGCTATTTGTTCTGGTATAAAACCATCTCATTCAGACACATTTATTCTCTACGTTGTGGTTGGTTGACCAAATTAAAACATATATATGGAACAAAATATGGAAAAGTTCAAGCAGTGCGATAAAATTGCCTTTATTCTAATTATTCTAGTTGCTGTCAAAAGCTGCGAACAGCGTTCACTACTGTACAGTTCAGATAGATGGCTTGATTTGATGTGACTCTGGCATTAAAAGAACAACAAAACGCCTGTTTTTAACTGTGGATGAGGTTGAGGTGCCCATCTCTGATTGTCCAAACAGATTGCAAGAAAAACTGCGTCTGTGTCAAGTTGTGTCACGCACTTTCAATAGAAAATATGCATTTGCATAAAAAATATGACGAATTATCCTTTTTGATGGTAAAAACAACAAAAGAGGAAGATACCTGTACTGTAAGGCCATAATGGTGAAAGTTGCCAGTCAGAGGTTCTTCTGTCAAAGCCTTTATTAGTTCTTTAGAAAAACCTTGAAACATCCTGCTGGAGTAGGCTTCTGTAGGAATAAAAGCATAAATTTAGAAACATGAAAATGCATCTAAGTAATGTTGAAAACTAAAACTGAAGAGGTTTAGATACATACTGAACCATGAAGTTTAACAACAGTTTATATTTTCTTAACCTAAAAAAACAATCCAAGCAATTAAAAGACATCAGTGATGCCACAGAAAGGTTTCACCTGTGGTTAGGTTGAGGGGCAAAGCCACATTAGTAGCTGGAGTTGCAGAGAGCAGATTCTCTTCGGCCACCAGCACAGTGAGCAGCTGCATGCCCAGACAGGTTCCCCAGATGGGGAAGAAATCCCCTGCATCATTGGCCTGGAACAAACACACTCATTTTACTTCCCTGCGCTCCGAAAACAAAAGAAACGTGAGAACAATGCATAACCTTTAAAGGCTGCTTATGAAATCTTTCTCACTTTGCAGCCAAAGAGCATAGCTGGATTACTGACTGAGTCTAAGACACAGAGTCAGCAAAGCAGATGCAAATTAGGAAACACAAATAACTTAAACAATGAATGACAATAAATAAATGTATGTGTCTTAAGAGCATGCAAAGTTTTCTATTTAGATGCCCGAAATGAATGCAAAGAAACTGATTGGTAATGAAAAGGATGCAAAATGAGGCTGAAGAAGAATCACAAGAATTACAATTAACAAAATGAAGAACAAATCACAGTCAGTGCTGAGAAAATTTTAAGAATATTAAGCAGAAAATTAAACCTGATGCGTTGTACCCACCGTCAGAGCAAGTTTATAAAAAATCTTCGCCACCCTGGCAAAGTCTGAGGTCATCAAATCTACGGCTCCACCGATGAAAAACAGACTGAACACCACAAAGAAATTAAAAGTGGTCAACATTTTAATGAAAGATTCAATGGTTCTCCTGCAGAATGATAAATATGTTGGGTTTTCTCACCCATTTATCTTCTTGAAGATGCTTTCATACTCCGCAGTAGGAAGAGTCAATCTGTCAAACACAGCAGCACAGTCAGTGCGCATTTTAAAAAATCATCAAACATTTGTTATATGGTTTTATTGTAACGTTCAATTGGATTGAGATGAGGAATTGGGAAAAACATTCCAGAAGCTAAATATTAACCACCCAAAATAAGTGTATTATTTTATGTTATAAATAATTTATTAACGGATATTTAGGAAGAGCTATGAAGCCATTTCTGTGGGACGCCAGAGAGTGAGAGTCGTTGTACACAAGTGGGGGAGACATGGAAAAGTTGTGAACTTTCCCAGGATTATCCACTAAAAATAGTCCAGGTCACAAAAGAACCAGGAACAACATGCAATAAGCGTTAGCGCCGTTGCTTCATCACTGAGGTTCTGGTCTAAAGTCAGAACCGCAGCTGGACAAAAATGACACAGAGTCTGTCCGCCTTTCAAACAAAATCCCAAAGATTTTCAGTAAGACATTGTGTGCACTGGAGACAAACATGGTGTGTGTGCAAGTTTGCTTCAATAAGCAATAATCAATGTATCACACACAAAACAAGCATGATTATTTGTTTTTCTCATGTGTCTCTTTCTACCAAAGAGTGGATGACCTAATGTTTCATTCACTATATTTCTTGTTTTATTCACTTTGCATATTTAAAATGTCTCCTAGCATTAAATAGTTGTTAGAAATTGAGATTTATTGATCTTACATTACTTCAAAATGGTTTCAAGAACTACAGTGGTATAATTTATCACAATAATGTTAGAATTGTCAGGCTACGTTCAAGTGAAGCTAGTCCATTTCTGAATGACTCTAAATTCAGAAACTGGAGTTTTTGAAGCGGCCTAGTCAAAGTCTAGGATTAAATGCTATTAGGATGCTGAAGCCTGACTTTAAAAGAGCGTTCAAGCTTGTAAGCCCCAAAAGTGGCTAAACTGAACAATTTGCCAAGATGTGAGGACTAAACTTTCTCTACATGGAGGTAAATGACTGCAGTTATCACAAACTGGATAGCAGTTGTTGGTGCAAAACATGTTAAAATCAGGTACTACATTAGTTTTTGACTAATCCATTCATGTATTGTGGAATTGTCTTTCACTACAGGGTCACAGGGGGGATAGTCTGTTTCTTCAAAAGCCATTATCAAGAGGAAAACATTCTCCATCACAAAATCAAAAAGTTTAAAAAGAAATCTGCAAATAGAAAGTATTTTTTTCCCCTCACAATATTAAACCTCTTCTTATCATCTTGCTGCCATTTTAACAGGTAAAACCAGCGGCGCCTTCAACCCACCTGATCGGCATCACCCTGCTTCCCCCTGACTCGATGTAGTTGACATAAGAGTCGGGTATGTATGTCGCTCCAAAAGGTTTCATGACATCATCTGAGACCATTTGAGTCAAAACACCTGATCAGCAAAACAAATCACAAAAACAATCAAAACGTGGCTGTGACCAACTGATTTTGCGTGGTTTTTTTTTTTTACATGCAAAGCTCCTCAATAAAGTTTCTTACCAATCACTGGTCTGTCGTTCAGCGTCTCCTGTTTGAGATTAGCAGGCATGGCTTCATGGCAACAGATGAGGCAAACGGAAAACAGGAAGAAGCAGATTAAAAATCTTCTGCCAGGCATCTCCCCTCTGCAGAATTCAGCAAAAATGATTCTTACAAACCTGCCAGAAGATTCAGTTTGTGATTATAGCAACGACAGACTTATATATGTAGAAGTAGAGGCGGATACAGTCAGAAAGGGGAAGTGAGGAATGCCCGGCTTTGCATGTGATGTCTGTTTTACTGCACATGCCGGTCGGACAAGTTCACAGCTGACGTAAGCACAAAATATCCTGCAGATGGCATGGAGTTTTTGGGAAAAGTTTCATCTGCTGATGTTGTAAACGGTCCAGGTTCATGCATCTGACACGGGCTTTTTGCAATTAAGGTTTTTACACCTTGAAGAACTTGTTGCAGGTCTCAGTGGAAACCATGAAATGCGGTGTCAGACAAGGTCATGTGTGCGAAAATGAAAGCAGTGGTTCAAGGCCGAGGCTTTGGACAGCCTGTTTCCGTTTCAGTGATTACAATGAGAGTTTGAGAAACTCCAAACTTATTCCAATGGAGCTGCACGAGCGTTTAGGAAAATCTGGGGCTTTTATGTGCATTTAAAAAACCTTCCCGCTTATAAAACCTACAAGAAAACATAACTTATTAGGTAACCTGTTGTGAAGTTCTCGGATTACATAACTTTAGGGCACAACTTCTTAAAGTTAGGAAACTTCATTGGCCAATATGAGCACAATGAAATGGCAGTAAAGCAAGCTGGCAGAAATAACTTCAACTGCTGTGTTAACACTAATAAAAGACCATCCTGGATAAATTAAGTGACCTATAATGTTGCCTTGTACAGGTTAATAGGTCTGTACAAATTATGATCATTACATATTTTGAGAAAAATTCTTCTTAGATCATGAGATGTCACTCTGGCTACTTTCAGAACTTGCTGTTTTAAATGTCTCCGATCACTTCAAACCCAAATAAGCTGCTGCTGGCCAAAAGACTAGACAGGTGTGAAATTATACAACTGTACAACTTTGAAAAGCAGAAGTAGAGCCAACTGCACAACCAACAAAGATGCAGCAAGTAGTTTCTGGATGGTAAGTCAACAACCAAACACTTATCTTATCCATCAGCTATTGTACAGCAGATATAGCGGTAAAATCAGCTGACCAAACGTACTGAAGCTTAGCTTAGCTTGCTAAGTAACAGGCTGGGCATAGTGGGGTTGCTAGGTGAGGGGCAGTGGCTGCTTTTTTTGTGATGTCAGGAAGTTTTTCAAACAGCACATTAGTTATTTATAAAAATATTTCTCTGCCCATTTACAGATAATGTTTAACAAATTGTTTCTCAAAGAAAGTTTCTGGCAAAGTACCACAAACCAGGTCTCTGCACACTGTAAACCATTTGAAGGTTTAACTTGGAAAATAAAAATCCACCTGCTGCCTTGAAAGTGCAATTTAAGTCAACAAGAAATTTGTATTGGTTTTAACTCAAAAATGAAAGTTCTTATAATTATTTAACAAGAGACAAGTTGTCTAAACATTGTTTTTTAAGTTCATTTATTTTAAATAGTAAGTTTTAATTTAATGCTGCAATTTAAACCAATTATTTCACAATACTCCAGAAAAAAAATTGCCCTTACTTAGTTAAAGAGCATATATTTCTCTAGGCTTTTTTTAAAATGGTCTTAAAGAACCAGATACTATGGTTTATGTAAACGTCTGTATTTAATCAAACAAAAAGTAATAGATATGTAATCAAACATCTAAAAATGATCTCTTGTTATTCGTCATTTAGCGAAGAGAAATATTTTTTATACTCGTAACTGACCCCAAACAGAAAACGTTTGTCTGATTTTAATCCAATTTAGTGGTCAGACTGTCTGTTTTTCTAAAGTCTCCACTGATGATAAGTAAGATATTGACTGTTTATAAAGACTAGTAGAACCCCGTTCCATAAAAACAGCAGCACTTCTTCTGTGCTGATCATTTCAATGTTTTACATATTTCACTTTTGCTCCACACTCTACATATTGATATTTTAAAAAGCGACAAAAACATGAAATCTGAAAGTTTTGCAATAAAATCAATGAAGATAGGAAAAGATTTTTGGTAGACATTAATTTATTTTTCAAACACAAGTATTGACAACGGAACAAAAACATGAATTAAACTGATCTAAAATAATCAAACAAATATGCTGGACAATATGAACCACTAAATAATTAAAAACTTGAATTTAATTATATCAAAAAGAGTACTTGTTAGAATTTGGTCAACATTTTTGTTTTATTTGGGTTCTAAGAGAAGCAATCCACTAACAGTCTGGGAGGGACGAGTACATTCACTGCATAAAGTTGACTGATTTATCAGGGTCATAGTTACAGCATTTTGGTTTCCACTGCAACTGCAACTTTTTTCTGACATCAGATCAGATTTAGTAAAGACCTTTGAAGAGGTCAGAGGAGACATTTTACATTTATTTTGCTTTCAAAAACATCCGAAGGAATGTAATCTGGGTGAACCTTTTATGACTTACAGGCTCATAAATTCAACAGTGGAGAATTTTATTGATTCGATCGTGAAACATTAAACAAATGTCACGGATGATAACAAGATAAAATGTTTACAACTGATATTGTAGAGCTGCAATACTATTTCTTGACATATGTTGACCTTTTTTGGATCATGTCAGTAAAAAAACAAGGTTCCAGTGTGAAACAAAGTTAATGTTTTTGTAAAATCCACTAACTGATGGTGAAAATTTCAGCTTCAGGCAACAGAAGAATAATCTTTGATCATTCAAAGATTACCTGAATAATCTTTGAATGATTATTCAAAGACCTTTTTAAAAGTTTTTTTTATTTATTTACTTTTTTTAAGAAATTATAATCCACCTTACTGAAAGCAGTAACATTTTAAGTGAACATCACTTTTTGTTTTACAATGAAATTCTAAGGTGGGAAAACCTTAAGTCAGTGGGATGAAGCTTAAAGTGTTGAAACAAGCCCATTTAAAGGAGATCAAAGTCAACAGCAACCAAAAGACACAAGAGTCTTTCAAACAGCACCAATAAAATGGTTGGTCCTTTCAGTCACACAGCAGACCATTAGAAGACACTGTCTGGCATCCAGATAGATGTCGATCACATCAGCTTTGTCCTGCAAACAAAACACAAAGTGAAAACATTTCATTTCCCTTAAAATATTTTGTCAACCTTTACTTAAAAATAGCATACAGAAACTCGTCTTTATTTCACTCATCATCAGTAATGAGTGAAAAAATGTCTATTACCATTACAGCAATCAGATCCTTTAATCCCATAATCACCAAGTTTCTGCATGTTTTCACTGGTATTTTGTCAATTTATTTTTTAATATATAATTTTCTTCCTTCCTATAAACCCTCATAAATTTATACTCTTTCCTCACAAATACCTGAAGTTTATTAAACAGAAAACCAACAAATGACATTTATGTAACTATTCACGGTTATGAAGCTCAAAACGGAGACACTTCTACCAAGTAAATGGAGCCCACTTGTTGCAAATTCAGTTGATTTGGACTTCAGTTGGAAGCAATAAAATTGGTATAATGCAAACCATCTAAATCCTGAATGTCAACAAAACAAAAGAAAATATTAATCCAAACTTTAATCTACCAGGAGTACAAATGGTTCCACATCTGGACTGAATCAGTAAGAGGAACATTATAGAAACTAAATAAATTTTGCTGAGTTGCATCTGAAAGATCCACGTTAGTTAAGACAGGATGTGATTTAGTCAAACCTCCCCCACATTTCAAGCTTCTTTTTCTGGTTGGGCTCATGTTTACCACTCCTTAATCGCTTTAGTCGGATATTTTGACATAAACAGCAAATTACTAAAAAGCGACTCTGTTCCAATTCAGCATACTGATTTTTATTTCCAGATTAAGAAGCAGCTTTACCCTGGAGTCTGGCTATTTCTTGACGAATGTCTTCATTAACAGCATCTAAAACCTCGTTCTTCGGCTTCAGACCATCCAGAAAAACTGCAAAAACAGGATAAGCATGCAGTACCTGCAATCTTTAACATTTTTACAAACAGCGCCGCAGTTTGAGTTTTAAACATTGATAAGGTTAAAAGTAATAAAATCAGTACTATTATCATTAGAAAAGGGCAAGTTGCAGTTATCATAGAAGTACCTGTAAAAATCAATATGCAGCTCATATCTTGTCATTATTAAAATTGTACAAGTTCATAATCTAAAGGCCATTCAACATTTTAGATGTCCTCTCACCAATTTTTGAAGTGATTTTCTCCATCTCCTTGCGGTTTTGAAGGTACATCGGCCACACGTATTCATCGAAGTAGTTTGGAGGGTCTGGAGGCGCATACACCCTCGTACTGCCCAGACAAAAACACAGAAATAGCTCTGAGACTAAGATTTTACTGAAAAATGCTTTCAAAATGACACTGATAGTACCAAAAAAGAGAGATGAGTACCTCCGCCTCTTCTTACAGACGTCGTAAGGTATTTCCAAAAAATATCTCATGTCAAACATCTCATTTAAAGGCCTGGAAGGACAAATGTGAAAAGTATGATTAAAGGATGGCTAGGAGAATTTAATGCTAATGTAATAATATTTAATAATATAATATTAAACTGTGAGAAGCAGCAGAATTAATGGTGACCAGAAAAAGCAGGTCGATTATTCTACAAAACGTTTTCTATGTAATACAGGAGACAGAATTTCACAGTTTCTCTGAATCAGATTAGAAATTAAAAAATAAAATGAAAAAACATCCATCCACCAATCAATCTGTCCATCAATCTGTCCATTCTTCCATCCGTCCGTCCATCCATCCTGTATTTTATACCTGTGATTGAAAATGAGGAAACCTTCCACTATCAGAACGTAAAGTTCGTCATCAGTGGATGGACCTTTGGCTGTCAGGCCTCGCCGCTTCAGGAACTCATGAGGGTCTTTTCTCCAGGAGCAAACCTCCTTCATCATCTTCTCCATGTGAAGAGCATCAAGCGCTTCAAGAGAACGCAGTTAGCATCATCTCCATTTCTCAGCTGAGACACATTTAACACAAATTAACTTTCATACACAATAAGTGACATGAAACTTCACCAAAAACTTAAAAAGAGCTGGTTTAGAATTGTGGAAACTTAATTTCAGTCAAAATCCTCAAGTCAAATAACAGATTTGAACTTACTGTCATATTGCTTCAAGCCTTTACTGTCCACTGGTATCAAACAGTCATCCTGACAAGAATAAATAACTGTAAATTCTTATCTGTTGTGTCAGAAGTTGTTAAAACGCCAATATAATCTAAGGAAACCTTCATGGTTACTTTAAAATACGCATCCTGAGCAATGATGCAGCTGTTGTGTATTTTCTGGTGAAGAAATTGGGAGAGGGTAGATTTTCCTCCATTGGTCACCCTGCGATTAAAGCACATGGAAATCATAAACGAAGATGAATAAACCTAACAGAAAACACCAACTTTAGAGAATCGTAAAGAGTAAACAAGTCTTATCAGCCCTCACTGCCACATGGTTATCACAAAGTCTACTGATCCGTTGTCCTGTTGCTTCAGTTTGAAGAATTTTTGCACATTTTTCTCTCCTGTTTTCTCCTACTTTGTATTTAGTGGTTCCACCGGAAGCCCTTTACGATATGAAACCTTGTAATTCCGTTATTAGCGGTTTCGTTTTTCAGTGATGTAGTGTTTGCAGAGCAGCGATGCGTGAAGGTTCAAACATTTATTAGTTTGCTGAGAGCATTCAGATTTACTTACCCACCAACTCCAACAATTAAAGTCTTCATTTGCGAAAGCTCACGGCAAAACTGCTGATGTGTGTCACTAGTTATATGAAAATAACAAAAAACTCACGTTTAACCAAGAGACAACTGCATTGTTTACCTACACAAACACAACCCTCCTCCCTGCCACTCGTTTCCGCCCGAAGACGCTTGTGATTGGCTGAAGACGGTGTTACGTAAAGCTCTACTCATTGAGAAAGGAAAAATATGCGCCCTTGATTGGCTGCTGATTTGTGAAAAGATATTTCAATTAAAATATTAAATATGTTCCTAATAACATATTAGGAACATATAACGTTATCAATAGTAGTAACTGTTATTTTTACTGACTATATATTTTACATAAATTATTATGAATAATATATATTTAAATTTTTATATAAATTACAAAATTACAATGTATATCATTTGTTATTGTTTATTTTAATAAATAATTGCAAATTGTTTACTAAACAACAAAACAAAAACAATAAACAATTACAAATAATATACATTTTAATTTTTATATTCATTATAAAAAGTTACATTTCAGAATTAATTGACATGAATTATAAAATTAAAATGTATATTATTTGTAATTGTTTGTTAATTTCTGTAAAATACATAGTCAATAAAAATAACAATTACTAATATTAATAAGAATATTTATTATTTTATTGTCTTAATCTTATTATTTTTCTTTTATCATGTTATTATTTTTTTCTATCTATCTATCTATCTATCTATCTATCTATCTATCTATCTATCTATCTATCTATCTATCTATCTATCTATCTATCTATCTATCTATCTATCTATCTATCTATCTATCTATCTATCTATCTAGTGTCATGAGCTGTGCGCATGCGCAAGTCAAGTTTTCCGCTTAAGTTAACTTCCTCATTAGCAGCGTTAGCTTCAAAGTGATCCACAGTCCAGCGTCGTCTCTGTCTCAACCACCTTTTTTTTCAGTTCGTCTTGGAGCCTCACAGATGTCTAAGCCTCCTCCCAAGCCGGCCAAGCCAGGTAAAGCTACGTCTTCCGTGACTTTTGACTTAATTTCCCCCCAAAACCTTTGTTTCGGTGTTGTTTGGTACGTGGACAGTGCACCTTGTCTCGTTGAGTGGCTGACGCCGATGGGCGGAGGGTGCGCTTGTTTAGCTTGTCTGGAAGCTCGGGGTAGAAGACCTAAATGCGGCAATGAATTGCTTTATTTCGGGGATTTCAATAATATGACTTCATAGGTAGGACGGGGGTAAGGAGGCTTTATTTTGTGTGTTTGGTGGCTGGCTCTGAGGCCGCCGTCACTTCCCTATTCCCATCATTCATGCAGTCACTGCAGCTTGCTGCCCCAGAGGTAGCTGCAGTCAAATAGGTGACTGTGTGGTCACACCTCTGTTTTCTCATTGTCTTCCTTCCAGCGTAAAGGACGCGTTTTAAATCACTGGATTTATTGAAAGCAATATATATATATGAATACATCTTCTTTATTTGTAAATATGTTTCACCCAGAACTCCTCTAGTGTCATAGTTTTAGCTCTACGTTGTTGAAATTATGTAAATAAACAACAAAAACAAAAAAAACACTTTTTGCTACAGTTATTAATTGGTTAATCCAAAAAATAATCACCTGATCAGCCCAACATTTTATTGATAAGTCAAAAAGAAATGGTTGGGCTTTTCACATGATGTTGCAAGTATTTATTTTCTTTAGGTTGCATTATTTTGATCAAAGCTACAGTAAAGGGATGCTGTTTAGGAAATTTAGGCAATAAAATGATTATTTTCTCATTTAAAAAGGGAATTTAATTATTTGCATCTTTTAGTGTATTTATATTATTGTATAAAATAGGCTTAAATAAAAAATCTCCAAAATGTGCCAGTTTTATTTTTTGATCTCATTTAAACTAAATAATCAATAGAATAATAGATTACTGAAATAATCATCAGTTGTAGAAACCATCAGAAACGCATTTTATGTTTCAGCTTTTGGCTACAAATTAAATGTTTAAGAAACTCAAGGCACACACTATTAACTTAGATATCTACTTACGGCAATAAAGCAGGGGTAAAAATCACCCAAAAAAACTATATAGCCAATATATTTTTATTTATTTGTAAATGCTTATATTTATGTCAGAAATCATCCCTTCTGTTATCATTGTTTGTTTAATTTGATCCTGATCTCAGGACTCCCACGCTTGTATTTTGACACCAAGTTTGGTTACCAATGTTTTACAAAAACAAATTTTGATTTGACAAAAAGTAATCATTGGATTCACTGTATATTATCATTTCTATGAGAATTAGACCCACAATGAACAGAGATGCATCTCATCAGCGGTAGCAACAAACTTGATGGCTCCACAGAAGATTATCTGGATTATATTGACATGTCTGGTTCATCATATAACAAATTAAATCAGGTGCTGTTTTTCTGTCTGTATCTGGTTGTGCAAAGAGTTCATATTTAGTTTTGTTCCCTTTTTTGGATTTCTGCTTTTTACTGCTTAATCTTAATCTACTTAATATTTTACTACTTAATCAACTGTAATCACGAATCATAACAAATGCTGTATGATTATGAGTGTTGTATTCAGATTTAAGAAGACCAGGTGTGCAGATGTTGCTTTGAACAGCCGACATTTGGTTGGCAAGAATGGGATTTATTTTGCAAGTTGCAACAGATTTCCAGCCAAACACAAATTCTTGTATTTAGGAATTAAGAAATTAAACTGCTATTGTTGTTTTTTGTGGACTATACAAAAACTTTTATTTAGTCCTGTTTTGTTATTTTCCTCTTGAATCTGCTCTGTTGCAGAGGGCTTTAGATGAAGCCAGAGCCTGGCCTCCTGAGGTCAGATAGTTGTGTGTTTAAAATAACATGACTGGACCTGCAGAGCAGCAGACATGAACAGAAGTGGTGTTGTGCTGTGGTACAGACCCCCCAGTTTAACCGCTAAACACTGTGCATCTAAACATTCTAAGTGCTGAAATAAAAGATTTAAAAACTCCTAATTCTAATAATTGTAAATATGTTTAAACTTGTTGCCAAATGACCTTTTGATTTCCGTTTGTTACACAATTTGAGATTTCTTCACATGTTCTCCACATGTCATCAGACACCGCAGATAAACTCTCCATTTTATTTTCACAGCATTCCCAGTGAAAATGATAAATGCACATATAAGGAATGCATCTGTTTGTGGTTTTAAATTATGTCGTTGACCTAATCGGGGTGTGACCAGTTTGAAAAGGAAGTCGACTGAACAAAGTAACACAGGGTGATGACGCCTCACCAGAAGAAAGATGCACAGTTCGACTCGTTCTGGTCAAGCTGAGCCGAATCGGCGCCTCGTTATTCGTGTGCAACCCGGCAGCTCTGCTGTTGACCAAACTTTGAATTTGTGTTAACATGCAGCTCAGGGCTGTGCAACTTCAGGCTTAACTGTTTAAAAATGCTTCTATAAGCTTTTTGTGGGTTTCTGAGAGTCTTCTGCAGGCGGACCACAACCACCCGGGTTGCATTCTTGCAGCAAAGCGAACTCCAGGCCAGAGCAGGCCCAGGGGGAAGGCGCTGTTGCACAATGACCCACTGTGTGTCTTTTTGTGCTGCATGTAGTAATAAGTGTGTATTGTTATTGGCTGCAGGAGAATCACAGCGATTTGATTTGTTGTTATTACATTCGAGTATTTCACCATGTTGAAGGCAGCTGGGCTGCAGGAGTGAACTTGCTCTGATTGTGCTGCGACTCCTTTGTGTCCTTACTGTGTTTTTTCCAACATGGCTTCTGTTGTAACCCATCTAGCAGCTCCATGTGTCATTTAACAATCTGTTATGTTCTTTTGCAGGCCAAGTGAAGGTGTTCAGAGCGTTGTTCACCTTCGATCCCAGAACAGTAAGAGCTGTCATTTAATTTTGGCAATATTTTTTGATTAGTAACAATTTCTCAATGTAACATCAAAATTGAACTTGATTTGTAATATTAGTTATTTAATGTGTCAGTAAATCATGGCTAATTATTGATGCAAAAATAATGACAGATTTATAGAAAATTCTGGGACTTTTTTAACCCCATTCAAAGATGTTCAAAAAAATGTTTTGCCTGAATTGTTTTAAACTGTGACCTGTTGCAATAATCAACTAATCACACAGTAAAGTTAAAACAATCTTGATTCTGATATTGTTTGAAGGGCAGTTTTGTTTAAAGACATTCTAATAAATATTATTTATTGCTTTTAGTTGTTTTTATTCCGGTATTCTTTTTTTTTCAGTTTTAGTGTGGATTGCTATTTCCAAAATTAAAGTTTATTGGTCTTTAAACGTGCCATTATCAGTATTACAGAAAAGTAGTCTAAAAGATAACAATATTATTGTTTATTTTTGGTCAATTTATTATAAATGTTATGATGCTAATCAGTGAGTGTCTTAGGCTCATAAAGAATAGAATTGTTTTGAATTACAACAAATATTTTTGATCAAAAAATGCTTTTCCATGATTACAATATTTCAAGTATTGCCAGAATGCTTCAAAATAATGTTGCTGCATAATCCTTGGGTCTTCAATCCCCTTATTGGTGATAAGAAACTAAAATTTAAATCTCAATTCACATGTAAAATAATAATGATAAAACATGTTACTATGAATAATAATAATGCTTATTAAACTGAGTTAAATTTGTCCTTGAGTCCACAATTTTTACACTTTCAGGTTTAAGGTTCAAGTAATTGTTTTGATTTTCATTTGTAATCCAGACTAGTAATTTAAATGAATTTTGCATAACTGAGCGATGCAGGCACAGAACTTTCTATTTACGCAAGTCTGCCAAAATAACGCCTCAGATCAACCAGATGCAGTTCACCATCTGACCACCAGATGGGGGCAGAATGCCTCATGGAATCCTTAGAACCAGAACTTTAGATGGATTAGAGATCATTATTTATTTATTTGGCTTTTGTTAAGTGAGTTTTGAATGTTTCAAAAAACAATTCCACTTTTGGGGAAACAAAACACATTTTATTAAGTTTATATTTTATAACATGCTGCTGTCTTTTGAATATAAAAGAAGAACATTAAATGTATATGAGGGGAAAAAAGTTCCCTGTTTGGGTAAAATAATGTCAATTATTGATCATTTTTAGGGAAAGTGGACAACTTAA